TCTTCTTCTTCTTCTTCTTCTTCTTCTTCTTCTTCTTCTTCTTCTTCGTCTTCTTCCTTTTAAAAAGGAACTGAACAGGGTTCCCTCAAGGTAGCAAGAGCTAGAACTGGAATGAGTTTATTCTGTAATCCCAAGTTTCATGCTTCCCTTTTTCACTGCTGCTGCACCTTACCTTCCAGACAGTTGGTTTATCCTATTGTGATGGGAAAGAGCAATTCCTTGATTAACTGATAAAGAAACGAAGACCCAGGCTAGAGAAAAGTCAAAGAAAAGAAAGCCTTTATTTAGGGAGCCATGTTGTTGGGACTTCATGGTGTAGTTTCCCTGTCATAGCTAGAAGACACAATCTCACAGCAGACTTCTGGTGCTCTGGCTTAAATTCTTTCTACCCACTTTCCCAAGATGTTCCTTAAAGTCGTGGGTACAGGATCTGTATTATAGATTTATCAGCTGAGGTTGGCCTTTAATGGGCCACTGTTCTCTGCATTTTAACTAGTTGTGGCTTTTTGTAACTGACTCTGTCTGCTGAAAAAAAAAAAAGCTTCTTTGATGAGGGTTGAGAACAGCACTTCTCTGTGAGTATAAAGATAAGCAATTAATATAAATAATGCAATTAGAAATTATGCTGGTTTGGAAAAGTGGCCAGTAATCAGATCTCCTCTAAGATTCATGGCCTCGCCAGCCACATGTTAGGAAGGTTTAAAGTAGCAGACATGGCGGATCTATAGGCAAATAATAGTTGCTAAAAGAGGGAGATCTATCTTTCCCAGGAATAAGACCCCACATTTTCTACCCACATCTAGGTGATTAGCTCTAGGAACACATATATGCTGACAGCACTAAACTGACTCTTCAGGTTGTGATTTGTTTATATATGCATACATAACAATAGTTTAAAAAGGAGACTATGAATTTGGGGCTAGGAGATCAGGCATGGAAGGAGCAAGAAGAAAGAGGGAGAAGAAACGACGTAATTACATTTTAAATTATAAGACAGAAAAGAAAAAATAAAACAAGAAAAAAACATTATTGTTGGTTGCAACAATAGCTAGTGCCACAGGTGAAGAGAAATTAAAATTTATTATGAAAATGATTTCAGTAAAGTTTAAAACGTACTTGGTGTGATTCTACTTAGGTGAAGTATGTATATTTACACACTGTCTCGCTATCTGTGCAATGTGTGTGTGTTTGCAACCAGCAAGAGATATAAATACAATTTAAAGTAGGTTACCATGGGTAGAATACTTGTGGATAACTTTTACTTTTATTTGATAATAAATGTGTATAAACAGTTCTCTAGTGTAAACAATTTTTGAATTTTCTATAAGGTACTATAGGTGGAAATCACATTTTATGTTTATATTAATGCCACCTTCCTTTTGATCACAGAAATTCACTTATTTTATTACTTAAAAATCTCCTTTTAACCTGTTTTCTCTATCTTGGTTAACAATCATATCACTATACCCAAGAATAAAAGCTATCACTTTCTCAAGGTCAAGGTCAATCCACCACCCTACAGGGGCATCTAGATATGACGGTGTGAGCTGAGGTTTAGTCTTCTCAGAGCTGCGCCTAGAATCCACACTCTACAGCGTACATGTGTTCTGGAGCCATTCATGCCTCTGACAGGTACGTACCGTCTGTGACTGTGGAGCTAACGCTTCTGTTTCTGACTGCAGGTCACTGGGCTGTTTCACAACCCAAGCATCGGAAATGCGGTCCACATTGTAGTGGTTCGGCTCATTCTCCTTGAAGAGGAGGAGGTAAGGAATGGATTCCCTCCACTCTTCTTTCTTCTGCCTTCCTTCTCTCTTTTAGGAAAGCTCTTGACGAGCAAAAAGCAGTCACTACACAGCCTTTTTGCAATCCAAATGGAGGGAGAATATTATTTCTGTGTTATTTTCCTGTGAGTTCAGCAATATTGAGTGAGAAATGGGGAACATTTTTCAAAAAGTATATGTGTGCTGAAATCGCCTGATTATTGTTACATCTACTAAAACATAAACAGACGTACGGGAGTCACTAATAGTGCCCTGCAATGGAAGCAGTACAACACAGCTACATAGTTTCAATGGATGTTAGGAGATATGTGCAATCAAACATGCCTCTCACGCCATTAACATATCTATGGAGTGTAACATGCTTCTTTTGGATTTGTCTTTGCATATTTCATGTAGACTTACATGCCATGTACATGCTGGGATGGTATGCCTAGATCATAGTTCATTCAGTCTTGGGAATGTGGATAATTCCAAAGCAGAATTCTTGATTAATTTCTGCCTTTAATTCTGATAGCATTATCTTTCCTATCTTAGTCAAAAATGCCCCGGTTTTCACCAGCAGTGTACAGCTGAGAGTCATTCTTCTTGCTGATGTTCTGTCTTGTTTTTGTTTTTGTTGTTGAGACGGGATCTCACTGCACATCTCTGACTAGCCTGTTACTCACTGTGTAGACAGGCTAGCCTCAAACTCACAGAAACTTGTTTGTCTACCTCTTCAGTGTATGTAATCATATCAGACCTCATTCTATCTATCTATCTATCTATCTATCTATCTATCTATCTATCTATCTATCTATCATCCTTTATTTATTGTATCTTCAAAATCCAACAACAAAGCCCATAGCAGTCCACCTTCAAAACACAATTCAAAAATACCCAGTGCTCTTGATTCCTGAAACCATTATGTTGGTTCAAGTCTTATTATAACTTGCCTGAACTACTACAGTGAGTTCTCAAATGGATTTCCTAGTTTCATCTTTTTCCATAGTATGTTCTCTGGGAAGAGAAAACACACACATACACACACACATATATATATATATATATAAATGTATACATAGAGACATAGAGAGAGAGATATGTCTATATATATATGTATATATATATATATATATATATATATATATATATATATATATATATA